AAATTTTACGGAAAATTGCCGCGGTCTGCGACCATTCTCCTTTATCATCCGGGCTTGGGAGCGGCAAAGGCGGAGTCAACATTTAATAAATGTTTAATCAAAACAGAGTAGTGTTAAAGGAACGCAAGTCTGCGGTCATGGTGGCAACGCGTTATGCAGACACTCTTCAAATTACGTTCCGCAAACCTTTACATAACGGCAATTTTTCACGGAACTCACTCTAATCCGTCAATCGCGCCCTGTTACTTACATGTTTACAGCAAAGATATACAGTAATACATTAACGTTTTAAAGGCTATTTCTGTAAGTTTGTTTTACACGACGCACACCAAATTTGATTTGAATACGTAGTCATCAATGCAAAATAATGTAATACAGTATAAATAGTATGAAAAATGGGAAAATGTTCAATTTTCGACCTTCATACGAAATTATCATAAACGACTGAACAATGGCTACTTTCTTTTCTTCATAAATCACTCTAAAACCATTTCAAACATCATCTACGTATCACTGGACTTCCAAGAACTGTCGGGTGGTAGATTCCATTTTCTTTAATCGTGTCATTTCTGCTTAAATCTCACGGAACGTGACTGCCATTATTCACGTCATGAAACGTTTCGGCTATTCCTATAATTCTGAATCCGCCGCTTCAGCAACTTTTGCTGTTTCGAATTCAGTGAGTTCTTCCCCCGATAACTCATCCCTATGTGAGTCAATCAGCTCTTTGATATCATTTTCATCAACTTCTAATTTAGGTTCAGCAAGGTTGACTATTTTTTTTCAGCTAAGTTCTTCAAGTTTCGTCCTTACCGAAACCTGCACAGTTGTCAACTCTATTAATTGCCATAAAGGATTGAGAATCGTCTGAAAATTTTGATTTTCTATCTTCGAAAAGACTTCATGCCTTCGTCTGAATCATCATTAAGCTCAGTGACGTTTGACTTAATCTTTCATCTACATAGCTAATTTGTCAGTGTCATAAATAGCATCAAAACCAGTAGATCCTTTCACATCCTATGTTATGCGGCAGTACCCTTCATAATTGTACTCATTACTGATGGTACGAGACCAATATCTGGTCTTATGATCGTTAAACTTTGTACACCTTCACATTTCGTTATAATTTTCATTTTTATCTCTAGCTAAATTTTGGTATGTTTATGCATGAGTTCACTTTTAACACTACTGTTCCTTTTTCTAGTCATCTCTGTACTTCACCACTGCGCACGTAAAAAGAATAAGTTACTTACGTGTATGAATATAAATACACAGCATGTACGTGTTCAACAGGATACAAGGCGAGACTGGGGAAGGCAGACGCACACACCGTGTTGGCCGCGTGTCTTGCGGAAGACCGCTTTCAGGTGTCGTGCGAGTAACGCATGGACGTTAAGTAAAATTTTCACAGCTTTAAACTTTTATAAAAGCTCTTTCAAGATAATTTGCACAATTCTGAATATATGTATGTTTGGATCGGTCCGTATAAGAATCGCAATGTTACTAAGTTTTATGATACCCTTAATGCATCATACCGAATTGAGTGCCCCTGGCTATTTACTGCCTTTCATGGCCATCCTGATGTTCAACGAGTCCTGGAGTTCGTTCCGCCAATTATCTGTGCTACCACTTTCAGCAGTAATCTCATCGAGACCATTTCTAGGCTGAGGAATGGTTCAGGCACCGAAACGAAGCTGTTCATTTTATTTGACGAATGGTTCTATGCGTCGCTAGCCTTACGCGTCTCGACATAGTCCGGAATAGTGACATCCGGAAGAGCCTTGGAATACAGCCTTTGCTTCT